GTCTCAGAGGGTGTCCGGGGAATAAGCAAGAAGCTGAAAGAGCAGGAATGCAGCAGCCTTGGCGCTGCTCTCTGCTTGCTTCTCTTACATGAAATTATGTGTCATTTCCATCAAGCCTTCCCTACACTCCCCACTGACTCCATGAACTTCCTGGTGTCTGTAGGCAGAAGACTGTGCCATCAGGGTGATGCTGATTGTTTTTGCTGTCTCTAAATGAAATTGTAATGAGAGAACCAGGTAAAAACGTATGTGGCTGATTGATCACAAGGAAACCAGTGCTTGGCTCGACCCCTATCATTGATGTGGTGGTAGATGATTTTCCACACAAGCGAGGAAAAAAACCCATTTTGTTCCTTTGGATAAAATAAAAATGCAGTCATTGTGCCTGGGAGTGGCCGCTGGATGGCATTTTGAGTGGCAAGGACGACCCCAGCCCTGACTGCCACCCGTAGGAAGTGACAAGTGTTGTGAATGACAATGATGTGAGGAATCGCTGACTTTCCACCATGAAGTGGTAGGTATCAGCGTGATAATCTTGTCTATTCTAATGAAATATAATTGGCTGTTTTTAAAACTGAAACACAGGAAGACAGATCTGCCATCAGCTATTCACTCCCTGAAAGCCTGTAACAGGCAGGCCGAAGATAGAAAGCTGAGGACTCAATTTGCATCTCCCATGTGGGTGACAGGGGCCCACTCACTGCCTCCCAGGATTTGCACTGACAGAAAGCTGGATTCAAACTTAGGCATTCCAGTATGAGACATTGGAAACTCAGATTTACAGAGAGAAGGAGAGACAAAGATATTCCATCCATTCATTTATTCCCCACGTGGCCACAAGAAGGCTGGTGCTGAACTGATCCAAAGCCAGGAGCCAGGAGTTTCTTCCCAGTCTCCCATGTGGGTGCAGGATCCCAAGGTTTTGGGCCATCCTCGATTGCTTTTCCAGGCCACAAGCAGGAAGTTGGATGGGAAGTGGAGCAGTTGGGACACTAACTGGTGCCCATATAGGATTCTGGAGCTTGCAAGGTGAGAATTTAGCCACTGAGCCATTGTGCCGGGACCTGAGACTATAGCATCTTAACTGATATTTTTTTTAAGGACTAAAAAAATTGTTTTTTTTATTTGAAGGCACAGATTATAGAAAAAGGAGAGACACAGAGATATGTCTCCTATCTGCCCATTCACAAACATGTCACAGTCCTGGTTCCTTAAATGACATCTAAACACGTTCTTCACTGCTGGATATTTTTTCAACTGGATGAACTTGTGTTGTCCAAGTTTGGCGCTCTCACTTCTTTTTGTAAATAAATGTTTTTCTTTTGAAATATCCTTTTTTCCTAAAAGATTCTTCTTTTTTTAATATTTTTAATTTTAACAATCTTTACATGGTTAATTTGTGCATAAAGGGTCAAGGGCTACAGGAAAGTGGGTAAGACTGTTATTTCCATATTGTTTCCTTCATATATCTGAGGTAGAGGGGGATATTGAGGGAGAAGCCCCACCCAGTTTCCCACCCACCCCAAGTCCCGCATGTGGGACATGCTCCGAGATACTCGTTGAAGTGGTTTCAATAGGTCACCAGTTTTTTTTTTTAATTTATTGTTGTTTACATTGTATTGTGTGATACAGTTTTATAGGCACTGGGGGTTCCCCCCACCCCTCCCATACCCCTCCCCTCATGGTGGATTCCTCCACCTTGTTGCATAACCACAGTTCAAGTTCAGTTGAGATTCGTTCCTTGCAAACACATACCTAGCATAAAGTCCAGCAGTCACCAGCTTTGAAATTGCTGCCAATCTTGCCTCTCCAAACACCATGAGGTTGTTGAAAAATCCATTAATTGACATTGTCCATCATAGCGTCTCTATTTGCCCGGTATTTTGTTGCTGAGGTGGTTGATTAATTCGTTCCATCTTCTGTCCCTTCATGGTTAGGGTTCTGAGTCTGGCATTTCAATTGGGGAGATCACCAAAGAAACTTTGTCTGAGGTGTTCCCAGGCCAGATACTCATATGCACCAGCAAGCACAGGGCCCAGCACAGTCCATCACCCAGTCAGCTGGTAGTTGCAATTGCTGGGTTGGTTCTGTTTTCAGCCCCATCTTCTACTGGAACCAATGGGTGTTGCAGTCCAGCCTGGTTCTGCACAGCACATACTCGGTCTTCACCTAAACCAGTGGGAGCTGCATCCTGATGAGAGTGGCCCACAATAACCCCCACCAGGCCAACCCCCTACCCTGGTTTGCCAGTATGTGTGGCAGACCAGTCCAATCTGACCCACATCCCCCCTGGTTCTCGTACATGGCAAATGGCATTGAAGCTTGGACCCATCTACCCAGCTCAACAGTCAAGCCTTCACGGGTGTGGTTGAGTGCCTCTCTGTCTAGCTACCCCAGCCCCTGACCTAGTTCTCGTGCCTTCCCGTGGCAGTGGTAGCCCAAGAGGGGGGAACCCACTATTTCCCTCCCAGGTCTCTCACTCCCGGATTGTGCACTTTCCAGGTGGTTCTGCAGTTTAACTTGACAGGATTAGCCCCCAGTGCCAGTTTCTGCCAGCTGATGCTATGGCTATGCCCAAACAGCCCTCTCCCATTCTGATTGTAGGTTGCACCCATAGGAACAATCAACCCATCCTGGCTTTTCCCTGGTCTAGTCCACATGAGGCGCACAGGTGTTGTAGCCCTGCTTAGTCTGGTCTGCCCCCATCCCAGTTCATGCTCTCCAGTGGGAGTAGCTGTCCAGCAGGGGAACCTCCCCTTATTCCCCCGCTGGCTCTGTCCCTTCCCCTCCTGTTTCTCACGTGTGCTGGATGGGCACTGCAGTCACATCCGGCACAGTCAACCTCCTCGTGGCATTCTGTAGTGTGGACTGGTTTTTATCGCAACCAAACCTGGCTCGACCCTTACTCTGTTCTGGTGCTTGGATTTGCCAGTGATGACATTAACTGATTAGCCTGGTCGGCCCCCAATCCATGCCTAATGTATGCCAGTGGGAAACTTCTTGTGGCCTGCTCTGGGCTGTTTCCATTCATGCTTCTTGCGCTTACCCGTGGGGTCTGTGTCCTGCCAGAGGAGTTGCCCAGGCTCCTCCATCAGAACCTCTCCCAGTGCCGGGTTTTGCGCATGCCAGTGGGTCCATGAGCCAGCCCTAGCCCAGTTCCTGACTAGCTTTTGACCCAAGATGATTCTTGTTGGATATTTCAGCCCAGCCATGGCTCGTCCAGTCCATTCCCACATACGGCTCATACATGGTTCAGTAGGGTTTGCGACCTAGCATAATCCATCCCACTTCTATCCTGGTCCTCCAGGAGCACCAGACAGTGCTGGGGTCTGGTCCAGCCTGGTGCGTCCAGTCCCAGTCCACACTTGTGCCAAGGGGGATTTCACTGTAACCTGATCAGAACGCAGCCCCCATTCCAGCCCACGTGCTCCTTGGCGGTAGCCTTAATCCAGTTAGTGTGTCTACTGGACAAGACGCATGCCAAAGCTTTAGCATGAACTGGTATTTGGTGGTCAGCATTGCTAAGTGGTAACACATTCTTTAAAGGAAGAGTAACTGTCATTGGGAAACTTTAGGATGTATTCACCTTGCAGAAACACATCGGGTTCAACGTGGAGCCACATAAGCAGCAATTCAAACCACCAAAATCACAGAGCTCCCCTGTCAGGCGGCCAGCAGGCAAAGCCTGGCACCAAATGGTGCCCCGGCAGGCCCAAGCCCGGTTCACCATGTGCCCATGATGGCGGGTGTATGGGATCCGGGCATGAGACGCCCTGTCCCGGGAGCCACCTGCTGCCTCGCAGGGCGGCCCCCTCCCGGCGGACCCCGAGGGTCGCGCACGTGGCCTCGGGTGGGAGGGGCGTCACGGGGCGGAGGGGGAGAGGAGGGCTTCATCCACGCCACACCCGCGATCGCCTCGGGTGGGTTGGAGGATGCCGGGGCCCCTGGCCCCATGTGCGTCCCTTTCCCGGGGTGGGGCGCATGCGTGGGTTGGAGGCCCCCCATGGCCGGTCTGCTCCCTACCCTCCTTTTTTTTCGAAGGAGGCGGTCGACCAGGTGCCGCCTGGCACTTAGTCTCTCGCGGGCTCTTGGCCGCCGGTCGACCAGCTGCCGCCTGGTACTTAGTCTCTCGCGGGCCTTGGCCGCCGGTCGACCAGCTGCTCCCTGGCACTTAGTCTCTCGCGGGCCTTGGCCGCTAGGTGTCGCTGTTAACCTGTTTGCCCTGTGTCCTTGGTCTTCCTGACACTGCCCCGCCCCCGCCCCCGCACTCCTGCTCTTCATCTCTGCACTCTCCCTCCCCCCTCCTGCCCATCTCTCTCTGCCACCGGTTCTCGCTCACCCGCCCGCCCACCCCTTGTGGAGACAGTCAATAGTAACTGAATTTTTCGTCTCTTTTCTTTCTGTGTCGCCCGTTTCTCTTCTTGCCCCTCCTTGCCAGGTGTCCTCCACTTTCTCTTTCTTTTTTTCAGATATATATATGTATTTTTATCGATTTATTTCTTGTGAGTTTTTCAATGACGTGTTATGTTACAATTTCGCCGAGATCAGGATTCCCCCTCTCCCCTCTCAGACAGCTCCCACCCTAACCCTTTCTTCTCCGAGGAAGGAGGTCGACCAGATGCTCGGTGGCAATGGCCGTGAAATATTCACCACCAGGTGTCGCTGTTTACGTATTTGTTTCCTGTGTCCTCTCAGTCTTCCTCCAACTACACCTTCCCTTCTCCCTCCCCCCTCCCGTTCAGATGTTCAATGTTAACTGACTTCCATGTCTTCTTTCTCCCCCGACCCCGACAGATTTTCCACATTTTACTACAGTGCTATAAAATTTCTCTTTTTCTTCTTTCTTTCTTTCTTTCTTTCTTTCTTTCTTTCTTTCTTTCTTTCTTTCTTTCTTTCTTTCTTTCTTTCTTTCCTTCCTTCCTTCCTTCCTTCCTTCCTTCCTTCCTTCCTTCCTTCCTTCCTTCCTTCTTTCTTTCTTTCTTTCTTTCTTTCTTTCTTTCTTTCTTTCTTTCTTTCTTTCTTTCTGTGTTCTTGGGGCGTCTTTCCAAAAACTGTTTAAACTTTAAATTTCATTTTTTCATTGACTGATGCACTTATTTTTTTCCATTGCTTCAGAAAGAAAGGAGCGCTCGTTCTACCAGGGGAAGCTGGGCTCAACGTTGAGGGATGAGCGGCCTCTGCTTCCCCACCTGCTTGCTAATTAGCCCAACACTAACCCACCAAGACGGTGCTCAGGTGTGCCGCGTCGCATCCCAGGCTACAAAAGGTATCCAGGCGAAACCGGGAGCGCGGCGGGGCCGGAGAGGAATGATTCAGCGACCTGTGCTTTATCACACACGCACACGCAGGAAAAATAATAGAGGTGCTGGGACGGAACAGTAGCCGACTGGGCACACGTGGGATGAATGGACGCGATGATCAGTCGGAAGCTAACAACTCTGGCTGGCACTCACTGCTCAGTTTTTGTTTTGTTTTGCACTTAGGTGGATGAAGAGGGAGGGAGCACCTCACTGGGAACAAGAGTTGGATGAAGAGGACGTGTCGTCTTCCCTGCTGTTGCGGCCCTGCCCCCACCCCCGCTGCCGTCGCGGCCAAAAGGACCCACCCTGCCCCCAATGGTACGCCCCTAGGCCAAACCCAGAAAGCCAGAACTCAATCTGTGTCTCCCACGTGGGTGGAAGCAAGCAAAGTGCTTGAGTGAACATCTGCTGTCACTCAGGGTGCCATGGGCAGGAAGCTGAGTCAGGATGCGGATCAGTTACTTCAATGTGTGAAATGGGCATCCTGAGGGGCAACTTAACCACAGTGCCAAACACCTGCTCTGGCTCTAATTTTGTATTTCTTGTGCTTCAATATGTTACTTAGCTTTATACATGTTCTTTGCTCTACTTCTCTATTTGGATATTGTCTTAGTCCTTTTCTGTTGCTAACAAAACACAATTTCCAAAGAATGGAAGCTATTTGGATCAGGGTTCTACAGCAGGGATGGGGAACCTTGTGTCTACCAAGTATCAGTTGGATGTTCATAACATCATTCACAGACCATACAAAAGCCTCCACTTAGAAAACAGTCCACTAAATAAATTTATAGAGTTGCAAGCTCAGCCTGCAGATGCCTTAGCAAGGTCAGATCAAATGATTTCATGGGCCTTATGTGGCCTGTGGGTCAGATGGTCCTAGTGCTGTGAGAGCCTGGGAGAACCAGGAACAAGGCTCCAGCATCTATGCAGCTTCTGGTGAGGACTGCCTTGCTGTAATACCATGTGGCAGAAGGCATCACATGGCAAGACAGAGCAAGCACATGGCAGCTCAGGCCTCCCTTGCTCTTCCCATAAGGCCACCAGTGCCATCACGGGAGCTCCACTCTATGACCTCCCACTCCTGATACAATCAACATACATATTTGGAGCGACATTCAAAGCATGGCAGGTCACTTAAAGGCCAGTTTTATGTTTTCCCTAGGTAGGAATATGTTAATATCAAGTGAATTTCACGAGTAGATTCCAGTGATCCTGCCACCACTGTATCTTCATTGTGTAGATTTATCCCAGCAGCAACATCTTTCTCCAGACTGGCTATGAAGGGGCAGTAGGAGAACCAATCCAGGACAGCCACTTAGTTTACAGAAATCTCTTCTTCAAATCCATGCCTGACTTAACAGATCTCTCCTTGCAGGCGGTTGGCTGCACATTATTCCAGCTCAGATCCTCAGCAGTCACACTTGATCCCTCAAGCCCTTCTCTGCACAGAACTCGGGCAGTAAGAGCCACACCCATTGGCACCACCTGCAAGACTTTCCTGATGGCGTCTTGCCTGGCTCTGCAGGCCCAGCTCCCTCCTGCCGCTGCTTGCCCTAAGCCCTGGCAATGCTGCACATCTGACAGTTCCCAGAGCAAGAAAGGTAACACCTGTGTGATGTATTTCCTGGTGAAGCTGCTGCTCCTCCTCCAGGGCTCACCGGCACCCTCTCGTGGGAGCCATTGCTCCCTCCTCCCATACAGCCACACATTCACACCTAGCAGCTTCGCTGCCTGCAGCATGGCGGTTCTAGGTGTTGGCTCATTGCCTATGCCAGTGTGATGCCAAGCTGCATCTCTTCTCTCTGGAATGCCCACAGTGCAAAATTGCATAAAGAAAGACAACAGGAGGAGAAGGAAGGATTACTTCGTGTCTCTAGACCATATGTTATGGGAAAGTGCTGTGTGAGACAAAGGTCAGGGACGCCTGAAGGCATCGTGGTTGCTGATGTGGTTATTAGGGCTGAAAGGAGCTGACAAACCTCTCTCACAGCACAAAAGATGCCCTTCAAGGGGACGTGTCTCACTTGTCAGCAGAAATGGCTGTGCCAAGCCAGAGTGGTTTGCTTCTAATAACCTTTCTTTCTTGGGTTTCTACAAGTACCAGGTATGAATGTCAGGGGGACCACTCCTCCAGCCTGATAATTCACCATGCAGCCTGCAATTGGGTTTCTGAATGTAATCTCTTGCCTACATTTGTCAGGCACAGGACCTAGCACACACCGTGGAAGTAGCACAGCAACAATGACCTGCAGGGACCAGGCAGGAGCAGAGGTGGATCTACCTGCAGCATCTACTGACACTGCCAAGGAGACTGATGGCATTGCATCCTGGATGAATAATCCAGGGTCCTACCTGCCAGCTTTATAGGAGACCCTGGCCTCGTTCTGTAAGGTGACTCCTGTTTGAGTACTGGCAGAGCAATGGGTGTTCCTCAAGATGCTGACTTTCCATGCAGCCACCTTGTCTTTCTGGGTTGTTTTCCCTCTAGGCAGCCATGGCCTCCAGCACTTCTTACTACAAGAGACATGAAGTGCTATTGCTGCAGCCAAGCCATTGAGCACATCCCCACATGCTGATGGAGAACTCAGCATGGACCCCAACCAGTGCTACAGCAGCCTGGAGAAGGGTTGTCGGATGGTGTGTCTGTCCCTGGGACAGGCACCTGGGACCCTGTTACGTTGCAGAGTTCAGCTGGCCTCTCCTAGGCTCTGACTGGCACCGGCACCTCTGGGGACACTGACACCAATGGCTTGAGCACCACCCCGGGTTGGCACACATAATATCAAAGCTCGCTATGGAGAACAGCATCTGCTAGGTAAGGGGACGCCTCGGCTGCTTCCGGCTGGCTCAGGGCAGACACGAGCCCTCCCCTAAGCTTGTGTAGACACAAGTCCTACCCCAACGTAAGAAGAGAATCCAAATCAGAGTGTCAGCTGCCCTGCCAGGCCTTGGCCGTGAACCTGCCATCCACCTACGTGTGACCTTGGGTCTGACTGCTTCACCAGTAAGAAGAGTTCAGTTTCCCTCACAGTGGGAGGAAAGGAGGTTCATTCTCAGCCCTGGAAGTGAGGGGCAGCCCAGGGATGGCTCCCTTAGCCTTTGTCTTTCTGGGCCTTTCTTCCACCCCATCTCTATTTCTCAGGCAGGAAGGGGCAGCCCTTGGGCCAATACAGCTTCGGTGCCCAAGGTATTTGGGAGATGAAGGTCATGACTCCTGAGTGCTAGTGACTGCTATTCACTTCAGATTGTTAACTATTAGAGCAACCTGCCTCCTGAGGACAGCTTGACCTGGCCAGAGAGCATCCAGAGAGCATAGAATCTCTGTCCCACCCTACTGCCACAGTTGGGTAGAAGGACAGGTAGGCTGCTCCAGGAGGACATCTCATATGATGGGTGGCTGTAGGGAGGAAGAGAAAGTCTTCAAGGAATAAGAAAATGCAACTCCAAGCCTGAGCTTTGTCTCAAGCAGAACCCACAAAGCTGCATCTACAGTCAGGTGGGCTCCGGAATGGCTAAGGGACAGGAGACAAAAGATATGCGAGGGCCCAGTGCTGTGGCCTAGCAGCTAAAGTCCTTGCCTTGAATAAGCCAGGATCCCATATGGTTACCGGTTCTAATCCCAGCAGCTCCACTTCTATCTCTCCTCTTCTCTATATATCTGACTTTGTAATAAAAATAAAATAAATCTTAAAAAAAAAAAACAAAAAACTCTTAGAAAAAAAAAGAGGGATCCCATACGCCCGCCATCATGGGCACATGGTGAACCGGGCTTGGGCCTGCCGGAGTTCCAGGGCTGCTTCCTTCGGGGCGAGTACACCAACCGAGGGGGCGGTCTCTGGAGCCTGGGTAGGCAGGCCCACCCGCCGCTCTCATTGGGCGGCGGAAGGGATTGGGATGGAGCGCGACCTTGGGCCTGGGAGCACCTGGTCCACGGGGCACCTGGTCGACCAGTGGCCAAGGCACAGAAAACAAATACATAAAGAGCAACACCTGGTGGTAAATATTTCGCGGCAATTGCCACCGAGCATCTGGTCGACCTCCTTCCTCGAAGAAGAAAGGGTTAGGGTGAGAGCCATGGGGGAGGGGAAATCCTGATCTCGGCGAAATTGTAACATAACACGTCATTCAAAAACTCACAAGAAATAAATCGATAAAAATACATATATCTGAAAAAAAGAAAGAAAGAGAAAGTGGAGGACACCTGGCAAGGAGGGGCAAGAAGAGAAACGGGCGACGCAGAAAGAAAAGAGACGAAAAAGTCAGTTACTATTGACTGACTGTCTCCACACGGGGCGGGCGGGCGGGTGAGCGAGAACCGGTGGCAGAGAGAGATGGGCAGGAGGGGGGAGGGAGAGTGCAGAGATGAACAGCAGGAGTGCGGGGGCGGGGGCGGTGTCAGGAAGACCAAGGACACAGGGCAAACACGTTAACAGCGACACCTAGCGGCCAAGGCCCGCGAGAGACTAAGAACGGACTTGGGGTGAGGCGCTGACTGGGTTTTAGCTATGTGTATAGGGAAATCTGTGCTGTCCCAACGCGGTTGGGAGCATTGAGATGGACTGAACTGGGTTTCTGATTTTTGTGAGGCAGTCTCTCTCTCTCTCTCTGTCTCTCTCTCTGTCTCTATCTCATTACCGGATGAGGTTCCCCGGGAGAGCTGGGCCTGGAAACACATGGCCCAAGGGATGAATCTGGAACTGACCCCTGGGCTCGAGACTCAGCGTTGTCGTTGTTATCTCTTGCCTTTGCTCTTCCTGCTCCCCCATCCTTCATCTTCCCCGTCCCATCGCAGCCCCAACTAACTCCACACCGGGAACCGCAGCGTGTTTCAAGAATCCAATCGCGGGGTCTGCACGTCATCTAGTGGCCACAGTACCTGATCGGACATGAGACGAAAGCCAAGATGGCGCTGACGGCAGAACTAGTCTCAAGTCTCGCGAGGCCTCGGGGTGGCGGTTGGCGTGGAGTTGGGGGGGCGAGGAAAGGAGGGAGGGGGAGGGAGGGAAACAGTGGGTTTAGCGCAGGCGCAGTCAGCACAGTCGGGCTTCTGGCTTGCTGGCCGGGCGGCGGCGGCGGGCGGCGCTGCACAAACCGTCCTTGCACCGGGCCGGGACTGCACTGTGCGTGCGTCTCTCGAGGTGCTCTCCTGCTTGCTCCGTCCAGGCGGGGGATCTGTTGCCTCCCCGGGGATGTTTCCTGATTTCTTTCTTCTTGGATCTCTCCTTTCCTTTTAGACTCCCTCTCTCTCTGCTTTGATTGCTGAATACCGCCGCTTTCCTCTCTTTCGCTTTCTCCTTTGACCTGTCCCCTCTCCTTCTCCCACTCCCCTGCGTCTCAGAGAATTTCACTTCTGACTCCCACCTTTATTCGACATTGTTCATCTTTACATTCTCTCCCTTTTCCGAGAGGCTTTTCTCTCGCGGTCTCATTCTGGATTTATTTTCTTCCCTCATCTCTTTCACTCGTGTCTGTCTGGCCATTTTTTGTTTGTTTGTGTGTGTGTGTGTGTGTGTGTGTGTGTGTGTGTGTGTGTGTGTTTCCCCTACTGCTTCCATTGCTTCCCTTTATGTTGTCTTTCTCCTTTCCTAGTTTTTGTGTTCCTGTCTTTTTTTTTTTTTATTCTTACTTTTGCCTTCCTTTCAGTGCTCATTTCTCTCTCTCTCTCTCTCTCTCTCTCTCTCTCTCTCTCTCCCTCCCTCCCTCCCTCCCTCCCTCCCTTTTCTCTCTCGATGTTGGTTGTTCCTTTTTATTTTCTGGCTGCCTTTTCCCTTTTCCGGAGCCGGCAAGGGGAAACAAGTGGGTGGAGAGCCCGGGACAGGGTGTAATAAAGTCCCCAAGCTGCAGGCGGGAGAGTCGCAGCCCTGCTGGGACCTTGCTGGCTCGTGTGCTGCTCGGAGATTGGGCCTGGAGGCTTGCAAGTGAGCAGGCGGGCAGCTGCGGGGGTGGGTAGGTGTCTGCGCGCTCCTGAATGTCACCGTGCTGGAGTACCCTTAGAGTGCATGGGGTCGACCAGCACACCCTTTATCACTGCCTCCACACTAGGGGACTCGGTTGTGGCTGTTGTCGGGGCTGCGAGGCCCCGGGCCCGGGCCCAACACTCGTCACCCGCACCAGGCCACCAGGTCGGGGCCGCCGGGCTGGGGCCGTTGGTGGGGCTGACTCCCTGCCTGACAGTTGTCGCCCGCACGAGGGGACCCGGTTGTGGCCGCTGGTGGGACTGTAAGCGTGTGTGTTTTTCTAACTCCTTGGGTCAACCAGGTGGCCACAGGAGCACGCCCCGTCGTCGATAGGTATGTTCTTGGGGACTTGTGACCCGGGCCCCCATCTGAGGGGTGGCTGTGTCCCACACATTGTCCCCGTTGTCCCCTGGAAGGGAATTTGTATGCCTGCAGTTGTCATTTTGGATCTGCAGGTAGGTGCTGACACGCTGTCTCCTGGCGACTGTGGTCAGGAGAGCTGGGCTCCTGGTTTCGCGTCTCGGTGGTGGGTAGGGGAAGAGCGCGACGGGCTGCCGGCGGCCTGGCGTCGGACTGCGTCTCCCCTGCCCATCCGGTGGCCGAGCTGCCTGCCTGGGTTCGTGCGGCAGCTTGGTGTGCGATCCCGGTTGAGCCCTGCGACGGTGCTGCCATCTCCGGCTTACGATTTGCTGCAAGAGCAGTGGAGGCGAGGCCGGGCGCTGGGTCCTATACCCGTGTCCGCTCTCTGCTGCAGGAGGCCCGTTGTGTAGGGGTGGCTGACGAAGACCCCCTTTCTGAGTCTGAGTCGGTAGTGGCGTCTTCATGCCACGTGTGCGTGTCAGGCGTTCCTCCGCTGGGGTTGGCCACCGCCGCTGAGGAGGCAAGGGGCTGGTGAGGCTGTTGACGGACCCCTCTCTGGCAGCTGTCCTCGCCCGGGCATGACCCCCTGTGCCTCGTGTGATGTCACAATTCCAGACCGACTGACCGATGTGGTGATGTGGCGCTCTCCTGGGCCGGGTCTAAGCTGCTTACAGACGAGGGACGGCCGTTCACGGCGAATGCTGCCGAGCTTCTCGTTCTGTCTTGCGGGCTCCTGGTTCCTCTTTCCCGTGCCTCGGTGTGGTGGGAGAGGCCAGGGGTGCGGAACCCGGCCCGATCTCCGCTCCCTCTGCCTCGTGCCGCCTGGAGGCGCGCTGGTGTGGGGGTCCGGGCGGGGGTCCTCGGACGTGGCGGACACCCTTCGCCCTCTGCCGTGCTGGCGTGTCACGGCGTGGGCGGGCCCCCTCCTGCGGTGGTGTGGGGCTTGTCCGGCAGAGTCCGGCTCTGCTCGGCTCTGTGCGGTGCTCCTGGAGCGGTCTGGGTTGTTTGCCCTTCAGGCGCCTGGAACCGAGTGGTGGTGTCGCTCCCTTGCCCCACCCCAGTGTGCCCCACCCCAGTTGATGCTTCCTCGGTGTTGGGGCCCTTTGGGCCCGGTGAGAGGCGCACGTGGGGGCTGGCGGGGTGCGGCTCGCCTTCAGTGAGAAAAGCCTTCTCTAGCGATCCGAGAGGGACGTGGCTACGTGACGGGGTGCCGTATCCCCCGCTCGCCGCGCCGTTCCTCCCTCCTCCTGGTGCGTGTCGGTAGCCACGCTGCTGACGATGCTGATGGCTTGGGTCGTTGTGCGTTAGGTGGCGATGGTCGCTCGTTCCTTCCGGCCCCTTGCGCTGGGGGCCGGACGCTGCCTCTCGCGCCTCTACCTCGCTGTGGCCCGCGCCTCCCCCCCCCCGTGTCGGGGGAGGGTCCCGGTGGGCTGGGGCCGGGCGTCCCGCTGCCTACGGGCCTGACGGAGGGGCCCTGCGGTCGCTCGCATGCCTCTGGTGTGTCTGGCCTTCCACTTACCACCCGGGGCCCTGGGGTTGCGTGTGGCTTGT